CCTTGGTGATTTTAGCCTATAAACTTTCAGAAGTTTGCCCACTTTCAGGGGGTGACAAAGAGCTTTGTTCACATGCTGGATCTAGAATCCTATTTATACCTTAATTCATTTTATTAAAACTTTTCTTTTAAGGGTACAAGACTGAGGTTGATTTGCTTCTTGCTGGGTCATAGCTTTTGCAGTTAAATACAAGCAGAGAGAGGCCTGTTGAGGTGGTGACAATTTGTTGAGGCTGGTGGGCAGAGATAAAAGAGCTTCCTCTGTCCTCCCCCAAGCCTAGCTATGAAGGCCCCTTGGGAGATATGACATTATACTTGTCTTATGGCAGCATTTTGAATTGCATTTGAATTAGATAGGCTGAGAAATATCCATAAGTGGAACCTCTTGAGTGCCACAAACCCTAAGGGCCTCCATTCATTCAAAGGGTACTTACTGAGCTGTGTCAATTGCTGTTCTAAGCACTTGATAGAGAGAAAACCAAAGGTCTTTCTGGTGTTTTAAACTTCAGAATGCCCAGAAGGCCTCGTAGGGAGTCTAGCCTCCTGCGAGATTCTGTTTCAGAAGATCTGGACAAGGACTCAGGAGCTTATATTGTTGTTCTTTTGTTTGATTTGGTTTTTTTTGTTTGTTTTTGGTTGTCGTTTTTTGTTTGTTTGTTTGTTTTTTAATTGCCAGAGGGGGCATGTACTGGTCAGAGAGAGGGAGACAGCAGCCCCCAATGGGGTGTGGTCATATTGCAATCCCTTCTCTATTTCTCCACCCTGTTGGGATTGGGAGCATATGCACACTTGCACCCAGCATGTTTTGCAAGCTGCTGGGGACCATTATTTTAACTGTGGAAGGCCATATAAGAACCTGCTCCCTTAATCACTGTATGGACTGACCCTGTTTTTTTTTTTTTCCCCTTAATTTCATGAGAGACAAGAGAAAGATAGGCATCCCCAACAAGGTGTCCATGCAATGATCTACCCCAGTCTCAGCCAGCCTGGATCACAGGAATGTGCATGTGCCCTCCATGCCCAGAGAGGTACCTGGATGCAAACCCAGATGTTTCCCATTTGGATCCAGTTGTGCTACTTCTGCGCCAACACCTAGCCCCAGGAGTTGGGTTTTTTTTTTTTCCTTTTGTTTCCTATAGGGCATGTGCACTCGCCAGATACACAGAAAGAGACAGAAAGAGAAAGTGAAAAATCACTCCGCAGGGCAGGGAGGGGTGGGCAGTGGGAATGGTCAAGCCACAATCTCTTCTCCTCCATTCTCCTCTCGAGATTTGGGGCATGCATGCACACACAGACACCCAGCATGAGTTTCAAGCTGCTGGGTCCAGGACTTGATCTGTGGTTGACCGTGTGGGAGTCCAGTGTCTTAACCACTACACCACCTGCTGGCCCCAGAGTTGGTATTTTTAATAAACATACTAGATGGTGTAGATGGTCCTGGATCCCAGATGAAGCAACTCTGCTTTGGGAACTAGACAACATTGGATCATAAGGCCCTTGAGATTCCTATCTCTGGATAGCATTCTGTGAAAAGTGCATTTCAACACCAGAGCCTCTTGCTCTACCAAAAGCCTGAAATATCATTAGAAATATGTGTCATTGTCCCTGACTTAACCTTCACCTCTCTTACTCCCACCTCTACCTCAAAAATAAACACTGTAGTAAATTTGCCTGTCAATCAAGTCTTATAAAAATCCTTCCTATTTGAGGGTTTAAGACCTAGGTAGTGGGACCAGCAGTTGGTGTAATGGCTAAGTCACTGCAGTCTCAGGTAGTTGACCACGGTTCAAGTCCCAGAGCCAGTGGTTTAAACTCATGCCAAGCATGTGTGCGTGCATGCCCAATATTCCAAGAGGGGAATGGAGAAGAAGGGATTGTGGTGTGGCCATCCCTCCTGGGGGGGGGGTGATTTCTTGCTTTCTGTCTCTCTGTCTCTCTGTCTTTCTGGTGAGAGCATGCACCCTATAGCAAAAACTCATCCAAAAAAGACCTAGGTAGCACTCTGACCCCCATTTTACATAGTGGATGCCCCTAGAAAGATGGAGGTTCTGCGGTTCTACGTGAAACCTATTTCCTTCTCAGTAAACATTCTGATTAGTCATGCATTGCAGAATTACCAGAGCGGAACCCAGTTGTTCTGTGATTCAAATATACTGTCTTGGAACTTGTAAAGAGGCAAAGGGCAACTGGGATCAGCCCACGGGAGCTTTCGTGGTGCTTTTGAAATGAATTTAAAGGCTTCGTTTCACAAGAAAATGGAATGAGTGAGACACTCTGTTGCATGGTTGCCTCAAGCCACTTATTTCCTAACCACTGTGTTAATTTCACAAGGATTTTTTTTTCCCTAAGAAACATCTCCTGCATAAGACAGAGCTAACATACAGATCATGGACTTAATGAACTGAAGTGGGTGTATCTAAGGTACTGAAACCAGTAGATGCTTTCTCTTGCTTTGATATACTCTTTCATCTGCCTAGGAAGGATGGTGACTGGGTGAGTGAACCCAGAGGGGAAGGAGGCTTTGTTGTGTGACAGGGCAACGCAGACCCTGAATGATAGGTCCTGGAAAGCAGCAAGCCAGCCACACAGGCCTTGGGACTGTGGGGGTGGGGAGGGGGAGGCCTGGAGGGCCTTCCAAGCTTTCCTGAGTCAGAATGGTAACAACTGTCTGCTAATAACCTCAGCATCTCCCTGGCCACCGGTATGCCATCACTAATCCTGAAAGGACAGATGCAGACAATCAAAGCTTACCTACAACTGGCCTGGGACAGGAGGAAGTGAAGTGGTTAGTCTGTGGTGAAGATGCAGAGTTGGGAATCGGCCCCAGCGAGTCCTGGATTTGGGCGTGTGCTCAGGTGGGCACTTTAAAGCTCCAGCCTTGATTTACCTCCTATGGGAAATGATGGCAATGACATTTTGACATGTGTCTGAGAGTTGGGGACAACACCAGGTCATTCAGGAGTGAGACATTTCTTAGAGTTGATAAAGCTGGAATTCAAAATTATCAAGACACTAAATTTCTATAATAATCCTCCACATGAAGACAAAACATAAAAACTGCTAGTCCTTGAGACTGTGTTCTAATTCATCAGAACAAGCTTTTTATATAATTTATTAGAGTCTTATTTTATTTAAAATCTAGGGACCAGCAGGTGGCTTACGGGTTATGTTATTGGGCTACCGCGTAGTCTACCCAGGTACGAGTCCCAGACTTAAAACTCATGCTGTGTGCATGTGTGTGCATGCCCAAAATCCCAAAACAAGAATAGAGAAGAAGGGATTGTGGTGAGGCCATACCCCTGGGGGTGATTTCTCTTTCTGTCTCTCTGTCTGTCTCTGTCTCTCTGGCAAGTGTGCATACCCTATAGCAAAAATCTCTCGAAAAAAAACTACTAACCAAAATTAGCAGTGTATTTGAAATATTTAGAATTGTGTTTATGAAATAGACTTAGGGATTTGTTTTTATTCTGAATTTTTACAGTTATTCTAATATTAGAAAGCATAGATTTCTCCTAAAAAAAAAAGGGGGGGGGGGGGGTGGCATACTGATTAAAGCAGCTGGATTCCACATAGCCGAGCACATAGTTCCACTCTGTCAGGCCAGGGTGTATGTGCACACCATCCAAAATCCTGAAGGGTGAAATGGAGAAGGGATCGTGGCATGGCCATCCTCACCAGGGATGCTTTCTTACTTTCTCTCTCTCAGGTGAGGGCACGTGCCCTTTACAAATTTAAGAAAAAAAAATGAATTATAACTCAGTATAAAATGATGTTTAATATTATATCAACAAAGAACAAAGGAAGATATACACAAAATAATGAGGAACTGCTGAA